AGGTCGAAACAGATACATAAAGTAGGAATATGAGAGGGTGAATAAATGACGTGGTAAAATAATAATAATAATAATAATAATAGTAATAATAATAGTAATGATAATAATAGTACGAGTCATTTCAATGTTAATCAGAGAGAAAGGAATATTTTCCATAAGCAAATAGTTCATCATGATTTTAGTGCGTTGGCTGAGATACTGCTCGGGTGCCCAAACCGAAGCAACAGAAGTTGCAGCCAGCTTGCTAACATCAATCCTTTTGTGGCGGTCACTTCGTTGTCCACTGAAAAGTAAGGTAAGATTGGCGCAGACCAGAGCATGATCAGATTCCAGATAGGTACTCCAAAAGGAGCGGCAGTCTTGTACACAACCGCGCCAGCGGTAGCTGATCGCGATGTGATCAATCTGAGTCCAGGCTTGAGATGCAGAAGGGGGACGCCAGGTGGCACATCGGCGATGACTGTGCCGAAAGTTAGTGCTAGCCAGAAACAGGTTGTGGTCTGTGCATAGTTGCAGTAGACGTTCCCCGTTATCTGTCCTGCGACCAACGAGTCCCCATCGGCCACCTAAACGACTCTCTTCTGTGCCTAGACGCCCGACCTGAGCATTCAAGTCTCCAGCTAGTACTACAATATCTGTCGAACGCACTTTCTGGAGAAGAACAGTTAACTGGTGTCAGATCTCATCCTTGATTGCATCCGGGCTGCAATCTGTCGGGGCATAGGCGGAGATGACGAAAAGACATCGCTTCTCACGCCTATTTCTTCTCACTCTGATGGAACTTTCTAATCTAACAGCACATAACCGACTGCTAATGGGAATCCAGTCGACTAGTGCTGCCTCAGCTCTAGCGCTTAGTGCGACACCAACGCCAGCAAGACCAGACGAAGATGCCACAGGGTCCCCGGATAAACACACATAAAACAAGCTTTTTGAAGCGACAGATGGAGAGCGAACTTGTAGTACTTCACCAGAGTCTTGAATACGGGTCTCGGATAGACAACACACATCAATATTAAGACTTGCCAAAGACATAGCCAGACCTATCTGTTGTCCGACCTGCATAAGTGTGCGAACGTTGAAGGCAGCCAGTTTGAATGGTGTACGTGGTTTCAAAAAAACTGCTTCAGTGCTCGTATTCGGTGGTAACATACAATTTTCAACCAGGCAGTGACTCGAGAACGTTTAGATAAAGCTGAATTTTCACCATAGGCGAGCTGTTGTCTGAGTCGAAACGGATACAAAAAGTAGAAATAGGAGATAGTGAATAAATGACGTGGTAAAATAATAATAATAATAATAATAGTAATAATAATAGTAATGATAATAATAGTACGAGTCATTTCAATGTTAATCAGAGAGAAAGGAATATTTTCCATAAGCAAATAGTTCATCATGATTTTAGTGCGTTGGCTGAGATACTGCTCGGGTGCCCAAACCGAAGCAGGTGGTTTTCTTAGGGGGCCACACTCCGAGCCTTCGACCCAAGGGTCTAGTCCACAAGGCAGTGGAGCATCGTAAGGAGATGCAGTCCCATGGTAGTCGGTAACCAACTATTGGTTCATACGCCATTTGTTCCTTCAGGATACTGAAGCCAATGTGCACCATTGAATTGCGATCCGGTTAAATCGCCGGAAATTCGCTTTTCATCCTGTCATTATCGTAAACAACACCCCCGCCACGAGTAGGCAGTGAGTAGGACTTCCATGGCAGAGGCTATATACGCGTGGCCGTGTGAGAGAATTTCGAGAGGGAGGGCGAACCCTTCCCGCTCTCGGCCACACCAGGGCATTCGGAACCTAGAATATGATTATGGAGAAAATCTACTCTGACTTCCAGCAATTTGCCTTTTACTAGGATAGTTAAAGCATTTCTAACCTGTTCTTTCGGAGAATCAATGTTCTTTTGAGAACTCAAAATAAGATTATGAATTAGCTCTGTGAATATGACAATCCTAGGATGGAGAGTACAACTCTCGATTAAATAGTAACTGTTAGCGGGACATAGATGGGATTAAAGCATGTTCCATGCATGATTGCGTTAGTGCACGCTGACTGGCTAATTCTTATCAAATCAGCACTAGTCGACACTTGGAGAAGACTTCGGAATCTTCTCATGTAAAAACTATAAATATACTAACGTTTTCCTTATTGTGTTTCTTACTTCCATCTACACTTGTTATTTGGGATGTAATTTTGTTTCTGTTCAACCGCGTCCTGATTTAAGGACTCGTTGAGTGAATTGGTGTCCAAGAATACTAAGCAATAGAAATAGCTGGGTCGTAATAAGAGAGAATTACGATAGTAACTGACAGTTGCTTCAATACTGTCCTTCGGAACAGTTGTTTGAAAGCTACGAAGACTACCAAGCATTAAAAGTCCGTATTTTTTCGTCATCATCTGGAACAATTAGTGCATAAAAACTTACATTAGTCGACACCGAGAACAATAAAGAATTAAAGCCGTCCACATAAGAACCACCTCGCCTTAGTTGTCGCGGTGACTGGTAACAGCAAAACTGATGAATGAATAGCGGCGTGCGGTAATGGTTAGGAAGCATCTAAGTGTATCATGATAATTATCATGTGCTCACTAGTGCCTAGCTTTCAGAGGGAATGCCCGGAGTTTTAATGAGAAACTATGAGCAGGGTCGTGGTTGCGCACTGCTGACAAGTCCCATAAAAGGAAGAAACGGCCATCTAGTGCTTCCAAGCCTTTAATAGTGGTCTAACTTAGGTTGATTCATGACTTCAATGGCATTCTGTTATGTTTCTTAACAAAAAGAAGACGGAATGGGTTTGAAAGTAGGGTTATGATTAAGGAAACAACTCCAAACAATCAACTATACGTAGTTACATAGGTAACAAGTAGACCTTTATACTAGCTGCTTACCTCATCGTATCTGAAAAAATGAGTGTTTTAGATACCTACTCTTGGTTTACACACTGCATGAAACCTACTCATGATTTACTCCTCATTCACACATGAAAAGCTACAAAAGTCGAGTAAACGCATCTGCTGTACCCAAAATCTTCATATTACTTTTCCTAATTGGTGAATAGTGACTGAGTTACTGTTGATGTCAACTACTACATCAACCTTCAATCAGGAGTGTTCTTTTTGGTACATGTAATGGGGAGGTTATTATTGTGTTACACTACCACCCCTCGAAAAATCATTAGTCACATACTTGTTAAATTCATATTCAATTCTCTAAGTATTACTAATTTAGCAGGTCACCGTTTGATGCAAAAAATTTCTGATAGGGTTTTCACTTCATTTTTACTCATCGACAGTTGAAAATGGAAACTACAAGTAACAGAAATTTGTCTGATAAATAATCATAAGTGAACCGTATACTGTCTTTTGTCTGAGATTTTTGCACGATGAAAATCTCAAGAAAATTACCGAACAAATACAGGAGAAAATAACCAATACGTTATCATAGTACATATGGGAATTTTCATGATAGTAAAAACCAAGGAATGGCTTTTAAATGCAAGTCACTGAACGCCTGTGTTTGATTTATACCAAATTACATTAAAATATTGCTTAAACCAGTAAAATTACAAAATCCAGGTAATTACAATGTTACTCAAACTACAATTGTACACAAGAGTACGTTTAAATTCGCAGGATACGCAGTTGTTGGCCATAAAGAGTAGAAGATACTCGTAAGCTACTAGTATTTGACTACAGATGCCTTAGAAATATTGCTGGGATCACCGTGTAAGCAATAGTGAGGTTAGACGCAGGGTATTAGGGAATGATGGTAAATCAGTTTATGAGGTTGTGAATCTTCATCGACTAAGATGGTTGGGCCACGTGTTGCGTATGCCTGAACACCGATTACCACGACGCGCAATGATAACTGGTGTTGGGGATAATTGGAAAAAAGCTAGGGGCGGCCAAACCAAAACGTGGCATCAGTGCTTGAAGTCACTAACTTTTAGTCTGAGCCATGTTAGTAGATGCATACTACTTGATTGGGGTCCGCGTGACTATCGTAACCAATTGTTAGAGACTCTGTGCGACATGTCCTAGAATCGATCACACTGGCGTCGGTGCATACACTTTCTGTCTTCCCTTAAACTAAGACATGTAAATCGCTTCATGTCTTTCTTTTTACGTTCTAATTCTTTCTTCCTTTGTTATATCCTTATACACAATCTTTCTTTTATATAGTACTACCTTTGATGTGACTCCTATGAATCCGGTGTTCATCTTGTTGTGCTAATGCGGTATGGCAACTTGAACCGATGCATATGTGTGCCTGGTCCTACGTTGCAGCTGACTGACTGACCAGAATAGAAGCCAGTGGCGATCCTGCTGTAACCTTTTATATTCTTCGTAAGGAGTGGTTGCTTCTTCCTTAAATGCAAGATTTCCTCTGATTGTACCTTTTCGTTTCGCTCGCATTTGTTCTTTTTTTTTTTATAATTCCCTACGTTCCTTACATTTTTTTTCTCTTTAAATTCTCATTGTTTTGTGTGGCGCATATATATTTGGTGCCCCCTTGTACCGATATTTATGTGTTCAAATAAATAAAATGAGACTGACAAGAGCAGAAAAAATATAATGGCTCTTCAGATTGAATTAATCGTATAAGAAAGTAATATTGTTTGAAGAATTACCCGGCTAGTTTTGAATATACTAGTGAATTTAAATACGCTAAAAACTACGTCTTCGACAATAATTGTTCCATTTTTTAGTCAAGATCTAGGAAACACACTAGTTCCGTTTACTCGCTTCGGTGGTACATATACTAAAATTGGAACAATACAGAGATTATCATGGCCCCTGCCCAAGGATGATACGCAAAATCGTTTAGTTTTCACTTAGTTTCATAATTCAGTTCTTGAATGTAGAAGTGTAACTGTTTATACGGATATCCTCAGTTATGTGTGAAGTTTCGTCGGTGCTTACTTTTGAAACTATTGGCTGATGCAGTCAAATTTATGTTAAAACTCATCTCGACATGTACTTTTTTTTGGATTATAGGAAGTGAAAGAGTTACAGAAAAGAGTGGTTCGTGAACCAGATGGTACTGAAGTTCATACCACGATTGAACGGTCATCTGATGGGGAAAAGAAGCATGTTATTTATATGAGACCTGATGGTCAACAGTCCCAAGCTACGAATAGTGAAGGTGAGAGATCCTTAAATTCATTGCCTTCGAATTTCAATTTCTAATTGAGTGTTTTATTATGTCCAACTTCCTTATGAAATGTTATGCAAATTAGTAATCATACTATGTTGGTTGCTTTATAGTCAAGTATCTGTAAACTCACTACGTAGTCTGATTTGTAATATTTGCATTATTGGATGGTCAACCAAATGATCATAAAACTGAATGATCTGAACGTGAAGTTTCGTCCATGTACTCTTTCAGTTCATATGGTTATTTAAGTAGGTGGTGATTAAGACTTTAAAGAGAACACTCGTAATTCGCCAAATAATCTGTACCTTCGGTTTACTGGGGAACATGTAATTTCCAACACTGCCTAGTGGAATCATTACACGTAGCCTAAAACATTGAAATGGTTTACGATATGTCCCAAAAGTACCGGGCAGTATATTTTCTACTCTCCACACTATCAGTAATACTTACTATTTCACACAGATATGGGATAAGACGAAGGGACAAGTCACTCTTCATAGTTTTGTAAGATAGGTGCTTATCAGCTTTTACTGAGACAAAATCCTGTGAGCAACTTCCGCATTGATAATCTCGCTACATAGCGGTTTCCTCACCATAACTTAAGTTCGGTGCCGGATTATCTTAAGTCTAGGGATTTTCGCTTGGAATCACTTTATATACGTCTTATCGACGTTGTCTTTACTGATATAACATTAATTGCAATTTACGTCACGCTAACTCCGTGCAAAGTACTTAAAGCAACTTTTTCCGGTGTCATTTTGACCTTACGAGGCTGATTAGTTAAAAGCTTCACCTTAGAAACACCTAACGAGCACGCAAAGGTGCCGCGAGACAAGTGAATATTTGGTTGCGGCAGAGGTTTACGCTCTGATTCGGAAGCTGTGCTGAGTACTTGCGGTCTAATTTAGATATCCTAGTCTTGACGAATGGAAGTTTAAAAGGTTAAAACCTTCCGAATAGGAAAATTCATATGTTCAGAAACCGCTTCCTATAAATTCATTAAAATTTAAACGACGGTTGTGATGTACCGCAAGCTACTAAGCTTAACAGCTTATTTCAATGACAAATTTTGACCCATAGCATAAATAAAATGTATTGATACGTTATCCTGTTAGACACCAGGTCGTTAAGCATTTTAGTTTTTAAATAGACTGTCTTGATGTTTATTGTAGATTTACTAATTATGGACCCAAGCGTTCCATCCATGAAAGAATATCAATCGGAAAACAAGTCTTCAGGAATTTTCGATGCATTGCGGCGTTGGTATCACGGGAATTAAACATCCAGATGTATGAACATGTTACTTTTTATTTGATTTCAAGTTTTAGTATATAATTTCCTTAAATTGTCACAGTTCTTTATCTTTGTAAAGGTGAATAGTTTAGTAACTTTTCTATTAAATCAACGTGTGAAAGAAGCATGCGTCGGCAGCAGTAACGTCTCAAACCCAGGGTATCCAGAGCATCTCCTTCAGCATATTCAGCTTGAAGCAAACCAATGTAACTCTCCCACTTGTCACCAACAACCTTTCCACACGTAAAACAACGTATCGGTATTATCATTGTTAATTATGTCTGAAAATGAAATGTGTATAAGTAAAATTTTGGATTTAGCGTATGTAAAAACATAACTAGATTCAGGTAATTAATTAACTTTGTACTGTAGTTACTGAGTTAAGGATATATGTATATTTAATACTATATGAGACAACAGTTAGTCGTGGTGGAGAAATACCGTAACTAGTAACTACGAGTTAAGTCTTGTGTGGCAACCCATACAAGTAGTTTACGTTACTCATGACTAGCTGAACTATTGAAAGGTTCTTTTTTTATAATTACAGAACTAGACACTAAATATGCTCAAAAGAATGAGGCATGAGTAAAATACAGATGGGGGAAACGCTAATGAACTTATATTGTGCAAGCCTGTGGCATTTTTTGTCAAATATTTAGAACGGTGGCAGTACATATCAGCTAGTGCCTTAAATAAAAATAGTAAGAGAAAGTCCCCAGGATAAAAAACAATGGTTGCGCGAATGCTGTTACCAGTAATGATTAATCATGAACGAAGTGATGCCGAAAAACATTAAAACTCAGAAACCAAGGGGAGAAAAACGATAGGAGATTTAGTGCCGATACTGTCTACGTAAAGCTATCTTGAGGATCACAGCAAGGTCGTGTATCCACGTAACTCGGTAGTCAGTAGCTAATTGGAACAAAGCCATGTCTTGGCCCTATCAAATTAAATAAATTTCAGTCTATTGTCTTAACAGGTATAAGTTGCGTTTAGGGATTTTTATATAATTTGATTAACAAAGCTTCACAGATGATTTACCACTTGGAATACTTTTCATTGTTTCAGTGTAGTCTCAAATAAATACCACAAAGAAAGTTTCTTGGCTAATAATAGTATTTTATCTCGTTAGCGTTTGTAATACAACGGTAGCTAGGTGTATCACTTACTTTTGTACCTTTGATAGCAAGTGAAACGAGTTTTTGTTATTTACAGACGGAGTTATTGTAAATATGTTGTGATTTGTAATCTGTAATGTCGTCCAGGTGCCCAAATCATAGGAAGAGCCTCCTTGCAAACTACCAGCTAGTAAGTATAGTCTAAAAGTTCTAAAATAATAGTCGATACATCGTAGTAGATGAGACCAGAACATATCGCGCTATAGTAGCCTGTAGAAACTAAGAGTTAATGTAGAGGATTAGTTTAAAATCGTAACTACTCAACGTATTTATAGAAGTAATCAACCTAAGAGCATTTGATTCTGGTTGGTGAGCCAGTGTCATCTCTGTTGATCAAATAAAACATAGGTTATATCTAATATAAATGCCAGAGGTGCGAACGCTTACAGGACTTCAAACTGTGGTGTTGAATTCGGACGACGTTTATATTTTGATTGAAGTCTTTCAATAAAGGAGACTGGTCCTAGTCATATAAAGCGTTACCAATTAGGTATTAACTCAATTGTAAACGGAGATTTACATCTGCGTGACAAATGCCCTGGTAAGGCCGAGAGTGGGGAGAGTCCGCTCTCCCTCTCAAAATGCTCTCACATGGCCAGGGAAGTCCTACTCACTGCCTACTCGTGGTGGGGGTGTTGTTTACGAAAATGAGAGGACGAAAAGCGAATGTCCGGCGCTTTAACCGGATCCCAAACCAATGGTGCACATGGGCTCCAGTATCCTGAAGGAACAAATGGCGTATGAACCAATAGTTGGTTACCGGCTACCATGGGACTGCATCTCCTTACGATGCTCCACTGCCTTGTGAGTCAGACGTTCAGGTCGAAGGCTCGGGGTGTGGCCTCCTAAGAAAACCATCTGCTTCGGTTTGGGCGCCCCCAAATGCCCTGGTACGGCCGAGAGTGGGGAGAGTCCGCTCTCCCTCTCGAAATGCTCTCACATGGCCATGCGTATATAGCCTCTGCCAGGGAAGTCCTACTCACTGCCTTCTCGTGGCGGGGGTGTTGTCTACAAAAATGAGAGGACGAAAAGCGAATGTCCGGCGCTTTAACCGGATCCCAAACCAATGGTGCACATGGGCTCCAGTATCCTGAAGGAACAAATGGCGTATGAACCAATAGTTGGTTACCGGCTACCATGGGACTGCATCTCCTTACGATGCTCCACTGCCTTGTGAGTCAGACGTTCAGGTCGAAGGCTCGGGGTGTGGCCTCCTAAGAAAACCATCTGCTTCGGTTTGGGCGCCCCCAAATGCCCTGGTACGGCCGAGAGTGGGGAGAGTCCGCTCTCCCTCTCGAAAGGCTCTCACATGGCCATGCGTATATAGCCTCTGTCAGGGAAGTCCTACTCACTGCCTTCTCGTGGCGGGGGTGTTGTCTACAAAAATGAGAGGACGAAAAGCGAATGTCTGGCGCTTTAACCGGACCCCAAACCAATGGTGCACATGGGCTCCAGTATCCTGAAGGAACAAATGGCGTATGAACCAATAGTTGGTTACCGGCTACCATGGGACTGCATCTCCTTACGATGCTCCACTGCCTTGTGGGTCAGACGTTCAGGTCAAAGGCTCGGGGTGTGGCCCCCTAAGAAAACCACCTACTTCGGTTTGGGCACCCGGGCAGTATCACAGCCCTCACACAAATCAATTGAGATTTGTGTGGCGCATATGTATTTGGTGCCTCACTGTACCTATACTTATGTGTTAAAATAAATAAATAAATAATAAATTCGGTTTGGGCATCCGGGCAGTATCACAGCCCTCACACAAATCAATTGAGATTTGTGTGGCGCATATGTACTTGGTGCCTTCTTGTATCAATATCTATGTGTTAAAATAAATAAATAAAAGTTAAAACTTGATTTCTCAATAGGTGTTTCATAACTTATTTTCTAAGAGCTGCTCTATTTATTTTGACACAAACATTGGTACAAGGAGGCACCAGATACATATGCGCCACATAAATCATTCGATTTATATGAGGGCTGGGTTACTGCCCGGGTGCCCAAACCGAAGCAGGCTGTTTTCTTAAGGGGCTACGCCCGAAGCCATGGATCTAAAGGTCTGATCCACAAGGCAGTGGATCAACGTAAGGAGATGCAGTCCCTTGGTAGCCGGTAACCGACGATTAGTTCACACGCCATTTGTTCCCTCAGGATCCTGGAGCCCATGTGCACCTTTGGTTTGGAATCAGGGTTTTCAAACTCCCCTTGGTGGGCCGTCCGTGTCCATCAATCTAGTTAAGAGGATGGCACATTCGCTTTTCGTCCTCTTAGTTCTGAAAATAACACCCTGATGAGAGAATGCAGTGAGTAGGACTTCTCTGGCAGTGGTTGTATGCACGTGGCCATGTGGGAGCATTTCAAGAGGGGGAGATGACTCTTACCACTCTCGGCCGTACCAGGGCATTTGGGGCTGCTCTAAACGTTCTAACATGTACTAGTTTATCTTAGGGGATACACGGCACAAGGATACTTAATATTCTCATGAGGAGTGCTTTCAAAAGTCACGTAACTGTGAAGCTTAAGTCGAAGCAGCGTTTCCGTTAGTCTAGATCCTCAACAAGGCATAAACGCACATCTTTTTTATCCTCTAAAGAAGTGGCTTACACTGAGTCACGAAAAGTCGGAAAATCTAATTTTTCTACTCATTTGGATATTGCAAATATATTAAGTTATTTATAACAATCTACCTAATTCTCGATTTGTTCGGTATCATGAAGTCAAACCTTGGCAATGATACCTTCACATCTTACAGTTTTACCCACAATTAACATGTAAGGGGCGGTGTTACTAACGGGCACTCGGAAAGAATCAGCCGAGGCGATTTTCGAGTGCCTTGGAAAGGCTGTTTTAATATTTCAACTGACGAAATGTCAATACAAAGGATATTTAACAATTGGGATTAAATAAATTGCTAAGACATTGCCTTGCTTTGACAGCGGGAGCCATCAAAATTTGTTATAATACTACTAGCTTACTAGCAGCATAACTTTGGGGACATCTGTCTACCACTCTGAATTTGACAGCGAATTTCACTACTGTCAGTTTCCCCGTTTTTGTTTGGTTGCTCAATTTTTTATGTATAGGAATGTGAGTGTGACTTTCCGAGACCATTTTATACCCACGTCTAGCGGTATTGTTATTTAAAAAGTCCTGTGATACTAACGTGAAAAAGCAACCTAGTTACTGCGCTCAACATTCAGCAGTAAACCTTATCAGCACTTTGTATCATCACCGTCTCAGTTTTACTATGAATACATCTGAAAGTATGACGGTGGTAACCAAAATCACAGTTTACGCCACAAAATTCTACAAGAAACAAGTTAGAGCAGGCTTTAGTACTCCGAAATATACGAGCCATCCGACGACCGCCCTCCCGAAAGAGATTTTCGCATCAAACAATTAATAGTATTTTGGAGAACTGACCAAAGTTAAGTGATTCAACTGCCGTAGTGATATCCGAAGGGAAAAAGCAGTGAGCCTGCAAGTTACGTCACAAGTTTGCTGACACGTCACCAGTAATGTATAGTTGCGTGGGCCACTTCTAATTATTTACGTGTAAATAGCTTCACTGCAGAGAAAACACGGCACTAAAGGGTTATGAATATACTACAGGAGGGATTGCTTAGAATAGGATGAATACGCCCAAGCCGCTATAGTAAATGACACCAAAATTTCCCCAGATCTAGAGAAATTCCCCAAAACTCCTCTTTAACCTTGGTGAAGGTCATTTGACTTTGGAGGTTTCCCCAAACTTGGGAGATTGAGCAGAAAACATTTCCTGTGTAACTAATTTTAGATTCTAAAA